CATATTGTTTGGTCTGCAGACGCGCTTGCGAACACACTCTTTTCTACCGGCGACCATTGCAAGTCTTCCACGGAAGATGTGTGTCCCGTAAATGGAATCCTGTCAGCCGTAAATGTGGATTGTGCTTTTGTTGTGAGATAAATATTCGTGTGCATATCACCAGTTATTAACCTAATTATTAAACCAAGATGATATAAAAATTGTTTTTGCAAGACCCTTAACAACTAAAGAATGTCATTTCTAGGTCTACCTTCCAGCGACTGTCCCTGACCAATCCATTGCAAACCCTTCTGTACTATGGCTTTCAACAGTATAAATCGGCTTCTGTGTTTTCTGTGGAATTTGTCGACCTGGAGTATCTAGTGAATTGATAACCGGTGCTAAATCCCATATGAGTACTTTTCCTGTTTCAGCCCAAGTTGCTGCTATATAGCAATCTTTTTGAGGCATCATCTATAACCGAATTTTTAATTCGAATTTATATTAATGAAATCGTGTCTCTAAATATAAATACCATTGATTTCAAACGTACCCTGACGCGATTAGCACCACCATAATGTTTTAAGCTTTTAATTTCTAAAATTGGATTTTCATCCAGAACTCCATCATTAGAATCAGAGTCATTGTCAGAGTCGTCTGTAATAACAAATGCATAAAACATTGGAAACTGACTAAAGGCACCATTATAAGCAATAGTATCATAATTACCACCATCATTCTGGGTCTTATGAAGTTGTGACATCTTCATTACCATCAATTCTCTGTCAGAGGCTCTATAATCGATATAGATATTTACAAAGAAACACACTACTTTGAAATCAACAGAAATAATTGTCATCGCACCCAGTTCCTATTACAAAATTGCTTTGCTCTCACTGTTCATAAAACTCAAGGTCTAACATTGTTAAGGGTTTCTCTCGCACTAGATGAAAACATTTTCTCTCTCGGTCAAGCTTACATAGCTCTTAGCAGGTGTCCTAATTGGAATAGCATCGAAATATCTCACCTAGATAGATCGGTATTTATGACCAACCAAAACATTATCCTAGAATATCAAAGACTTGAAGAAATTTCTAGAACAAGACCTCACATTTTCTCTTAGACTTTTCATATAAATATCATATAAAACTATAAAACATATAACATATATGTCAATATTAACAAACTTCATTCTTATTGTATTTACTGATCATATATTGTATTCATATTAAAAAAAAAAACTTTACATAGAAATTATTCGCCAAGTTGTTAATTACTAATTGCAATTAGATTATCTTTTCTTTATTGTTATAAAACATTATTGCATATTCTTATTCCCGTAACCGTTGTTAATACCGATTTTAAGCCGTAACAATGAGAATGCTTAAATAAATAAAAACCAACCCTTATGCACTAAAAACATAATTATCAAATCAATAATAATGATAACTAAGTTTAAAGAAAATTTTACAAAAAATACAATGTCTATCTTTATTCAATATTAAATCAAATT